TCGACCCACCATTTTCACCGGCTCACTGCTAGCCACTCTACAATTGTCGCTAACTCGTTGCTCTCGTCTATCATCTCTCTTCCAACTCTAACAAAATGTCCATCTGCCCTAGTCCTGTCAGCTCACCTCTCTAATCTATTCTATTACTTGAAAAAACCCCGAATGGCCTAACCCCTTTATCTCTTCTCTGATGCAATGGCATATATTCAATTGTGAACACTCAAGAGCATAACTAGAACTGGAACTCTAGAAATACAACAACAAAATTTGAATTTGGGCTTGGGAGATAGGTAAAATATCAAACAATTTTAGAATTTTGGACAAAAAAGTTAGGATTTATTTATTTTTTAATTATATGTTTAGATTGAAGGGATGAGAGATCCATCATATGGATGGCCGAACCCTGCAGGTAGGTTGGGCGAAATTTCAAAAATTTCTCTCTCTCCCATGTGGGAATCACATTCCCTATTTTAGAAAACGGCATTTTCAATGATCAATCTTGAACCAAAACTGAACCAGATCTAAAACAAAAAAGGTAGGAGAGGATATACCTGATACGGAGTAGTAGTAACCCCCAACGAAGGTGTTTATGCCCAAAGAGAATACCAAAGACTGCTCCCACTGAAGATGACACAGCATAGGGTGGAGTAGAATCAACAGGACGGTTCTTCAGCAAATACCGAATTCTTCAGCAAGAACTCGATAGAGGGTAGGTGAGCACGACTTCTGATTATCTTTTCTCCCAAAAGATAATATCAAGAATTCTTCTTGATCGCTCCTACAGGTGGAATTCGAACTAGCAGAGGCGACAAGAGCAGGAAAGGGTAGAAATCTAAAATAGTCGAACTGCAAGATTTCTTTATTGTGATCTGCGAACCAGAAGATCTCTCTTCTTTTCTATGTGTTTTTAGTTTGCCCCTTGCTACTCTATTTATAACCTTTAAAGAGAGGTTCTCCTAATCCCATTAGGAGATTTTCCAAATCCAAATCTTGTATTTGGATCTGGACTCTCTTTAAGAAAAAAGGATAATCTCTTATCTTATCTACAGATAAAGATCAACCCTCCTAATCTAATTAGGAGTTTCCTGATCCAAATATTTATTTGGATCTGGATTCTATGAGTGGATAGGGATAATCTCTTATCCTATCTGCTAATTTGAATCCCAAAATCGCCCTCTTTTAATTAATCACATTAAGCTAGCTGGATTTGGGCTTCAGGCCCATTAAGTCCATTTGCTCACTTACCCTCCTATCTGCTACCCAGTTGGATATCCTTGTGTGGCGTGCGACTCAAACATTGATCTGCACATCAACCACATGGGTTTAGCCAGCCTTTGTTAGAAGGCCTGGCCAAATTCACTGTAGGAGACAGTGAACCCCTGAGTCCATCACCATGGGCTCTTAATGGGCCCAACATTTACATTAAATGGTCCATTGGTCAAGCCACTTTATAAAAACCCATGGACTGTGGGCAGATGCAAGATTAGCCCATCAGGTATTACCCTCAATGGTTTTACACTTAACCTCTCAACCCATAATGATCAAACACAGCCCAACAAGAGAGGACCTCTCCCTTGGCTACAAGGTACAGTGCTGCACTCTCTACTCACATGGATCCTGRGAATTAAARCATTTTGCAAACATTTTGAAACCATAATATATATATATATATATATATATATATATATATATATATATATACACGTATGTATATTTCTACATAAATATATTTTGCAAAACAAATTTCAACGGTTGAAATCGACTGCCGACAGTTTTGGTTTCCATCTGAGAGAGTGCATCCCCGATTATTCACTTTGTTCGACAAAGGGGCTGATCCTGTCACTATGATCACCCACTCAGATGAATTCTCGGATTGTCCCTACATACCAGGTTTTGACCACCTCTAAGGATCTCATTGATTGTGCATATCAAAGACAGCCCAATCTGACACCTAGTGCAGTATCATAATCGAGTCTAGGGGTCAGGTGTAACATTCCAGTTTTGCCCATCTATATCCAAGGTCCAGGGCAATACTAGAATTCTGGTCCGGTTCAGGATTTCAAGAAAACCCACACTACATGTACCTCAGGTCTCACCCTAGCAGCTGAGACAAGCCACTCTAACCAATTTAGCGACACATCAGTGTCAGCCTTGGCAGGATAATCTCCCGAGATCTATCCAACGGCTGTAAAGATTCTAAACTAACACGAGTTTGATATGTGTCTAGTTTAAGGGTATTACACAGAAACACACCATAATAACATGAATCAAATAAGTACTTTATTCATTTACATTAAATGTCATAATGTACATAATTCTGATTGGAGCTAAGGACATACACTGTCTAACATAGATATGCAAGTTTTTAGCATTAGAATGTAAATGTTTTATATGATAATGTATTTATTAATGTTTAGATTTATTTAATTGATTATTTTAAATGAGAATGCAAATGTTTTATATGAGAATTTTGGACAAAAAATTAGGATTATTTTGGTTTTATTATGTATTATATATATTAAATTTTCAATAATAAACTGATTTATTTTTATTGCAATTGGTAAGGAAATTGAGAAGTGCTTATTTGAATGGGGCATTAAGAAGGTGATGACTGTTAGAGTTGATAGTGCATGTTCCAACGATGTTGACATTGCATATTTGAAGAAAAAAATCAACAATTGAAAAGTGAGTGTCTTGAAAAGAGAGTTTATTCACATGAGATGTATTGCACACATCATGAATTTGATTGTGGATGATGGTTTGAAGCTAGTAAATGATTTGGTTGTTCAAGTTTGGAATGCAGTGAGATATGTTAGGAAGTTTCCATCTAGATTACAAAAGTTTAAGGGCCCATTTGGCAAGTCTTTTTGAGAATATCTTTTTATAGCTCTGACAGTCAAAAGACGCATTGAGCTTTTGACATAAGATCTGGTAGCCCGAAAACTGTTTGGAAGACGTGCATCTTTCCATGTGTCTTTCCGCGTGAGAATAAAACATGAAAGATGCGAAAATCTTCATTTGAAGCTTCCTGAAATCAGCCCAAAATAGGTTTTTTCGCGACTTTTCGGCATCCGGGCTTTTGGTGACTAGATATTCTGCGCGCCAAACGGAAATAGACTGATTTTTGGTCTTCTCGTCTTGTAAACAATCGAAAGACCGCATGGAAAGACATGCCAAATTCAACCTAAATTATGTATTGAAGAGGAAAAAAATACAAAGTAAGAGTTTATTGTGCCTTGAAGTTCCCACTAGATTTCAACTTACTTGATGTTAGAGACTGCCCAAAAATTTCAAAAAGCTTTTGAAACTGAACTTGATGAGGATGAAAGGATACCTTTAAATGATGATTGGGAAAGGCACATAACAAAATTGTTGGAGTATTTCTTTGATTCTACAATTCATGTTTCATGTACATCAAATTAGCAAAGTTGATTGCTTATTGAGATAATGGTGTCAAAGTGATGGTATTCATTAGTTCTATGGCTTGGAAAATGAGGGACAAATGTAACAAATATTGGGGGAATCTAGAGAAATTGAATGTGATGTTATTTATTCCAATGGTTCTTGATCCTATATATTAATTTGATTATTTAGAATTTGGGATCTCTCAAATGTATGAAACTAATAAGGCATTTCCAGTAAGCAAAAGGGTGAATCAAAGCTTGTATGCTTTTGATGGAGGGTGATTTGATCCGACCTCCTAAGAAGGCGACACGTGGACATGACTCAGCATAAGCAACAACTCAGCATGACAGCCTGGCTATGACTGAGTAGCGAGCTCCTTAAGGTCCTCTCAGGACAGGTCGCTACGTTACAGCTCGCCACGGAATGAGCTCACTACAACGCGAGGTCATGGACCCCGGCATGTGGAAAGGGAATACTCCAAGACAAGTCTGTCCCAGCTCGGGAGTTGAGAGAACCAGCTCGCTTCAATACTCAGGCAAGAAGACTGCCCCAAAGGCAACCTCAGGTGGAATCACCTCGAGACACATCCAGGAGCTCCCTACAAGACAACTCGCTATGGGATAGCTCGCTACAGGGCAACTCGCTATGGGATAGCTCATTACAGTGCAACTCGTTATTAAGCGACGCGGAGTTCTCAGGAAGCTTCTTATCTAATAAGACCGTACCCGTCAGGCTACATCACATCTCCTGACTGACGGTGCAGTCCCTGTCAACCCAGCAGACTGCACCCACGTCCCTCGACAGGTGGTGGCGTGTCTGTCATTTCCGGGTCGTGTCTCTCATCCGATTGGGCAGTACCCTGCAATAGTTACCTGCGCAGCCCTAAAAAATAACGGTTGCGACAGAGAGTCAGTGGCGGTTATGCCCGTTTTGATAAGAACACCTGCATTTAAAGGCCCCAAGGTCGAAGGGGCGAAGGTATCTTGCATTTTGTATCTTGAGTTAGTCTCGAACTTTCATTGATCTAGCGTTACCTGCACTTTTAGCTCTCTTTGCATTCCTTACCGCTTTCTCAGGTGTTCTAACTTAAGCATTAGAGTATTCCCATCGGGCAAGTCCCCCGGGAATCCTTCACCATCTTCTCCTCAGGTACCGTCCGTCGCCAGCTAGAAGCCAGTCGACTGTTAGCTAGGAGTGCCCGGATCGTGCTGCATCATTCGGCGCCGTCTGTGGGAACGCTTCAAAAAGCCTTCCTCTAATCTCCACAACTCCCTCTCAAAAACTCGGCATTCATGGCTTCCTCTAGTAATACCAAATGTGGTGCTGACCAGAACGCTCCTGGGGAACAACCTCAGTTTCCCACTGTCTGCATTGGACAGTTCACCGTCCCCCTCTCCGTGGACGGAATTCCCAGCTTGAACGTGCCTTACATAGTGGCACCTGTGAATGCTCCACTCCCTTCCGCGGTTGGAGCAACCTTTATTGAACCTTCCGTTGTTCCCTCAGTAAGCAACCAAAACCAGCTTGAAGACCTGGTGTAGTGCATGCGAGCCATGCAAGCTCAAATGCAACAGTTCCAATAGTTTCAACTCTACCAGCAGCAAGTGTTGCATCAAGTTTCTCAGTACCAGTACCAATAGCAGTACCCTTCACTGCCTCAGGCCCAGTAGCCACTTCCCCCTCGGCATCCGGCCTCGAAGCAAGCCAAGCCCTCCCGCCGGAGCGAACATCCTCGCCGGGGAGAGGCCTCCCAAACCCAGAATCCTTCCAAAAGCCAAGCCTCATCCCGCGGCAGGAAGGAGAGACCAATCACCCCGGCCTCGTAGCTTGCGGGCAGGTCGGGGCCTCCCAGCCGGTTAGGCCTGCATCACCTCAGCACTCTTAGTTCGAGCTCCCGCTCGTAGAAAACCAGTTTGAGGTCCTAGCTGCAGATTACAGGCAGGGCCCTTCGGTTCCCAGCAACCATCAGCAGTGTGAGCCCATCGAGCTCGGTAATACTGAAGCTAGCAGCACCAACACCGAGCCGACGAAGCAGCAGCGGAGGCACCGACGAGCTCGCCGAACCGTTACCCACGTCCTGCCCGAGCTCAAGGGTAACGAAGAGGTAGGCTCAGATGAAGTAAAAGCTACTCCTATTCTGTCGGTCCCTTTCCCTCTGTCATCAGAATTTCTTGCGGTCCTTATGCCAAAGGACTTCAAGCTTCCTCCCCTGGATAATACGATGGATCCTTCGATATGAATGACCGTGTGGACGCCTTCTAGTCCCAGATGCACCTGGCAAGGGCCAGTGAATCTTGTATGTGCGTGGCTTTCTCCACCACCTTCAAAGGGGTGGCCCGCACATGGTATCGAAACCTTGCGCCCAAATCGATAAGAAGCTGGGCGCAGTTCGTGCAAGTCCTTACCTCCCATTTTGTCACAAGCAAGAGATGCCCAAGAACTTAGGAAAGCCTCCTCGACATAGTTTAGAAGGAAGGGGAGTCCATTCGGAGTTACATCAAGCGGTTCAATGACGCTTGTTTACAAATACCCGATCTAGACCCCGCAATTCGTCTCACCGCGGCCAAGCGAGGCATTACCCATAAAGAATTCAAGTGGCATGTGGTAGTTAACCAGCCCAAGATTGTGGCCGAGTTCCTCAATTCAAGGGAAGGCAAGGCCTCGATTCAAGGGGATGATAAAAAGAAAAAAGACCCAGCTCGGGGGGCAAGGCCGAGTCAGCCTTTCCGAGCTCCAGAAGGAGAAAGAACGTACTATACGTCCCTGAACGCAAAGTGGGCCGAGATCCTTATGGCGATCAAGGACGCCCCGTATGTGAAGTGGCCACCTTGGCTTAAGGCCGATCCTAGTGTAAGGAATAAAAAATTGTATTGTAAATTCCTTAAAGACCACGGTCATAGTACCAAAAACTGTAAAAACCTCCGCGACGAGATAGAGGAGCTCATCCATCATGGATACCTGAGGAATTTTGTACAGAATAGTAATAATAATAAAGCAGGTCAGCAGGGGGAGCAGAATAAGGATGCTCCAGAATCCCGCAAGCAGGTAGAGCAACCGCAGAGGCAGCCCCCGGAAGAGAGACCAGTTCGAGGGACTATCCACGTAATCGTTGGAGATCCGATTGTTGAGGGCTGCACCACAGTTGCAGCTCGGACATCAACTCACGAGGCCGCCAGGAAAGAACAGAACCCACCGAAGCGGCCAAGGACGGAAGATCCAATCTTCTTCACGGAGGACGACACGCGCGGGGTCCACTTACCCCCATGATGACGCGCTCGTCATAAAGATAAAGATTAATGACTTTGAAATCCGGCATGTCCTTGTCAACTTCGGTAGCTCGGCGGATATCCTCTTCAAAACAGCATTCGACCAACTCCAGCTCCAAAAAGCGACCTGAAGCCCGCGAACACTCCCCTGGTAGGCTTCAGCGGAGAGGAAGTCAGGCCCCTGGGAAGGATTACAGTACCTGTGGAACTGAGCACCTGGCCTAGCATTGTGAGGCTCAACCACGACTTCTTAGTGGTCGCAACCCCCTCCCCGTACAATGCCACAGTAGGTCAGCCGATCACCCATGCCTTACGAGCTGTGGTTTCCACTTACTATTTGGCCATGAAGTTCCCCATGGACTTCAGAATCGGGATAGCGCGAGGTGACCAGCTTGAGTCTTGCAAGTGCTACGTCGCCGCCCTCAAAGGGAAAGCCAAGGTGGCCGACGACCTTGGGCTGGAGCAACCTACGGAGCAGTGCGAGGAGCGAGCTGCGCCTGCAAAAGAGACTGTCTCCATCCCGACATCGGTGGAGGATCCAACTCGGACACTTCAAATCGGTGCTTCCATAGAGGATCCCCTGCGATCTCAATTGATATGCTTCTTACTTGAAAATTTAGATGTTTTTGCATGATCCGCGACAAAGATGCCCGGCATAGGCCCCAGCATCATAACTCACAAGCTTAATATTGATCCTGTAGTTAGGCTCGTTAGACAGAAGAAATGCAACTTAGCCCTAGAGCGATGGAGGGCAGTCGACGAAGAGGTTGGGAAGCTCCTTGTAGCCAACTTTATCAGGGAAGTCCACTACCCGAGCTGGGTGGCCAACCTCGTTCTGGTAAAACAGGCTAACGGTAAATGGCGCATGTGCGTCAACTACACCGACCTGAATCGAGCTTGCCCAAAGGACTGTTTCCCACTCCCCATGATCGACTGTCTAGTGGACGCGATCTCAGGGCACGAGTTGTTGAGCTTCCTAGATGCCTATTCGGGCTACAACCAGATCAGGATGGAACCAACTGATGAAGAAAAGACCGCCTTTATAACCGAGCTCGGCCTGTACTGTTACAAGGTCATGCCCTTCGGGTTGAAAAACACTGGGGTAACCTTTCAGCGACTTCTGAATAAATTGTTTGAGCCATTGATTGGCAGAAAAATAGAATGCTATGTAATCGACATGGTCGCCAAGACTCAATTTTCGCATGATTTAATACAAGACTTGCATTCAGTTTTTGAAATTTTGCGTAAATTAAACATGAAATTGAACCCCAATAAGTGTGTTTTCGGTGTTACCTCGGGTAAATTCCTAGGGTACATCATTAACCGACGCGGCATTGAAGCCAACCCGGACAAAATAAAGGCCATCTTAGACATAAGACCACCCCGAAAACTGAAGAAGGTTCAGAGGCTGAATGGCCGAATAGCTGCTCTGAGCCACTTCATGTCCAAGTCGGCAGATCGTTGCCTACCTTTCTTTAAAGCAATTAAGAGCAAAGGTTTTGAATGGACCGAAGAATGCCAGCTCGCGTTTGACGAGCTCAAAAATTACCTCACTAGCATACCGATCTTAACCCGGCCCGAGGAGGGCGATGTTTTAGAGTTGTACCTCTCGGCAAGTGACGAGGTGGTCATCTCGGTACTAATAAAAGAGGTAAATCGGGTCCAACGACCTATCTACTATGTTAGTAAAGTATTGTAGGGAGCAGAGACGAGATATACAGAGATAGAAAAGTTGGCCTATGCACTAGTTATTGCAGCTCGGAAGCTCCGTCCGTACTTCCAATCTCACACTGTCATTGTCCTCACCAACAAACCTCTGAGGCAAGCTCTACTCAAGCCTGAGGTCTCCGGTAGACTGACGAAGTGGGCCGTTGAGCTCAGCGAGTATGACCTCCAATACAAGCCGCGAACTGCTATCAATGACCAAGCCTTAGCAGACTTTGTCGCGGAATGCACTTTTAGCTCCGAAGTCCCTAGGCCGGTCGAGCACGAAGCCCCCAGCTCGGGCGAGCCCGAAGCTCCCATGCCGGTTGAGCTCGAGCACCGTGAGGTAGTAACCAGTGTGGCATCTCTCCAAGTTAGGCCGAACGCGAATTGGGATGAGGAGCCCTGGATCCTTCACGTAGATGGCTCCTCAAACCAGCAAGGCAGCAGAGTCGGAATCATTATGTACGGCCCAAGCGGCACAAAATTGGAGTATGCACTATGCTTCGAGTTGGCGGCATCCAACAATGAGGTGGAGTACAAGGCGTTAATAGCCGAGCTAGCTCTAGCCAAAGAAGTGAAAGCCAAGCATATCGTCGTCTGCAGCGACTCCCAGCTCGTGGTCAATCAAGTCACAGGCGAATACGAAGCTCGCGAACCAAATATGATTGCCTACTTGGCCAAAATAAGAGAAACTCTACTCAACTTCCAGTCACACTTCATCAAGCAAATCCCGATATCGGAGAACCGTGTACATAGAGAAACAGTGATAATACCATGAGAACTGTGTACATAGAGAACCTGCCTCGGCCTAGCATTCTTGGGGGGGCAGAGGAGGTCGCTTCTATCGTTCAAGCAGAGTCGAGCTGGATTGATTCGCTTGCGAGCTTCCTGCTACACGGGACCCTCCCTGCAGACCGCAATGTCGCCATAAGGGTAGAGCGTCAGGCGGCCAAACACGTCATGATAGATGAACGGTTGTACTGAAGATCTTACACGCTCCCCTACCTGCGCTGCCTGCGACCTTCTAAAGCCGAGCTCGTGCTCCGCAACACTCACGAGGGACTGTGCGGCGGACACTTGGGGGGCAGAGCCCTCGCCCAAAAAGCGCTACGACAGGGGTACTATTGGCCAACAATAAAAGCAAATGCGATCGAGCTCGTCAGAAAGTGTGACAAGTGCCAAAAGCACGCCAATATCCACCATTAACCTGCCGTCGATCTGAAGTATCTCACCAGCCCGTGGCCTTTTGCACAGTGGGGGATCGATATACTCGGACCGTTTCCACTAGAAACAGGCTAGAGGAGGTAGCAGTTGATTATTTCACTAAGTGGGTAGAAGTCAAACCTCTCGTAACAATCACAGCTCAAAACGTACAGAACTTCTTTTGGAAAAGTATAGTGTGCCATTTCGGGTTACCTCGGGTATTGATCTCTGACAACGGTAAGCAGTTCGAGGACATTAACTTCCAAAACTGGTGCCAAGACATGGGAATTCGACAGAACTTTACCTCAGTCGCACACCCTCAAACAAACGACCAAGCAGAAGTCACGAATAGAGCTATCCTCCGCGGATTGAAGGCACGCCTAGACCGAGCTAAAGGACTATGGGCAGACGAGCTACCCAGTGTTTTATGGGCTTATCGGACCACAGTGAAGACCGTTACACACGAAACCCCCTTCAACCTCACCTATGGTACTGAAGCAGTCATCCTAGCCGAGATCAAGGTTCCCTCGCTACGAATAGAAGCGTATGACGACAAGGCAAATGAAGATGAGCTACGCACCAACCTCGACCTGCTTGACAAAGTACGAGACCTCGCATATATTAGGACCGCGGCCTACCAGCAGAGAGTAGTTCGGTACTATAATGCCAGGGTCAAGAAGCGGAACCTCCGCGTTAGCGACCTGGTCCTTCACAAAGCGAGTGGTCGGGGAAGGAACATACGATCTCGAAACCCTAGAAGGGAAACAAGTACCTCGGGCATGGAATATTGTCAACTTAAGGCAATATTACCTATAATTACTGAGTAGGCCACGAGTCACTCTAAGAGCCTAAGGGCCAAAACGCCGAGCTAACGTAGACCTCGGTGCGATAAGACCCAGTCGCCTCCATGGCATGGGCAAACCACTGAGTAGACCATGAGTCACTCCTAGAGCCTAAGGGCCAAAATGCCGAGCTAACGCAGACCTCGACGCAATAAGACCTAGTTGCCTCTATGGCATGGGCGAACTCCAAGAGTGAACTATGAGTCGCTCCCTCAGCCTAAGGGCTAAAATGCCGAGCTAACTAAGACCTCGGCATTGTGAAAGACCTAACCGTTTCATCGGCAATGGGTAAGTATTAATACTAAAGGCATAGGCAGCTTTGGCATGAGCCCTATAAAGCGTAGATCGCCTCGGTATACAAGTTGAATTCGATACGGGACAGCTTGAGCTCACTATGATAACCACCTCGGGGTATACCATAAAAACTACCTCAAGTATGGAGGAACAACTCGGGGTGACAACTACCGAAAGATCCTACTTCGTACGTGTAGCTCTAACAACTCGAGTGATAAAATCGCTTCGGTAGAATGTAAAGAGCACACAATACTTAGCAGAAAAAGATAAGACATTTCATTACTAGTTTCTATAAACAAAAAAATAGGCTTAACCGCCCGGGAAAAATTCAACAGAAAACAAATAAAAAGTAGGGCCCAACCGCCCAAGAGAGTTAATAAAAAAAGAGATATTTAAAATCGGGTTCTAACACCCAGGAACCACCAGAATCCATTCAGAAAAAGAAAACAGAAGAGCAGGAACCGGCCTCAGGGATCCATCTCCTCTACATCCTCGTCATCCTCCGTAGAGTCAGGCTCCTCCTCCTCTGCTAAGTCCGCCGTCTCTGAATCCATACCCTTCATTGTTATACCATCAAGGTTGAGCCCGGAGAACTTCTTTCGGACCAGCCAACGGCAGAGTTTAAATCCATAACGGTAGGAGCTCAAGCCGTACTCCACCTGGAGGTCGTGGTACTCCTGGGAGTCCTTGAAGTCCCACACCGCCTTAGCTCGCTCAACCTCCACCATGGTGTCGAAGTTCTGAGTCCGATCCTGAAGCGTGGACTCCAAGTCCCAGACCTACTGAAGAAGCTCTCTCTCCGCTGCCACCCTCGACTCCTCCTCTTGGTAGCGAGCGCTCTCCTCAGATAGTCGGGCGATCTGCGCCTCCTGGTCTCAGAGGAGCAGCTCCTGGGCCTCGCTCCCCATTCGAGCCTGAAGGACCTCACCTCGGGCCCGGTCGAGCTCGCCTTGGAGCTTCTGCATGGTTGACCTCTGAGCGAGAGCATCGCTGGAGTGAATGTTGGTCTAGAGGGCCATGGCGTGGATGGCGGAGTTCACCTGCCAACAAAAGGCCGAGGTCAAAAAAAGTAAAAAGAAGAAGAAGAAGAAGGGAAAAGAAGAAAAAAGTAGTCACTTACCACTATGCAGTGAGCGGAGGCTAGCCTGGCGAGCTACTTGGGGTCCATCCCTCCCCAGTTGGCGACCTCCTCGTGGGAGACCGCCTTTCGGCTCCTTTGCGAAGCCACGGTGAAGTCAGTGACGCTTTCCCACCCCCCGGTGGGAAACCGCGGGAAAGCAAAAGGGTGGGACTGCTCAGGCGGAGGGAACTGCCCTTGCGCCGGGATCTCGTGCTCTTCTGCACCACCTTCCGTGGCCACTCCCTCGAACGAGACCGATGGGACCTCAGGCGGTGGAGAAACGAAGGCTGGATCACTAGCCTCGAACTCAGCGCTCCCGGAAGTGGAAGCTCGGTCAGGGCGCGACCTCTTCGCCCTGCGCTTCTGGTTGCTGGGCAGAAGGCGGCGTGCGTCTACACCAGACATGATGGCTGCCAAAAATCACAAGGCATTAGTCTAGTAAAAAAAAACTTTTTTTACAAGGCATTGCGCGACCTAAAAGGCAACCTACCAGGGATCAGAAGGAGAGACCAATCACCCCGCGGCAAGAAGGAGAGACCAATCACCCTCGCCTCGCAGCCTGCGGGTAGGTTGGGGACCTCGCAGCCGGTTAGGCCCACATCACCTCAGCACTCTCAGTTCGAGCTCCCGCTCACAGAAACCAGTTTGAGGTCCTAGCCGCAGATTATAGGCAGAGCCCTTGAACTATTCTCCTATTGATATTGATATGATATCTATGCTATTCTTGTTTTGTTATTTTTTTCTATACTAGTTTTGTAGTCCAAGTAAATCATAGACTGGTGCAAAGTCCTCAAACTGTATTAGAAACCACACCAAACCGTAATAAAATGGTTTGGTTTGGTTTCTATGCCAAAATGGTTTACTTTGGTTTGAGAATTTCCCAAAATGTAATTTACTGGTTTGGTCTAAAAAATTCTCCAAACTGCATCAACCCAAACCATGAACACCCCTACATAGAATGGCAAAAAGTCTCCAAACCATATTAGAAATCACACCAGACTGTAATAAAACAGTTTGGTCTGGTTTGAAAATTTTCCAAATCACAATTTACTGGTTTGGTATGAGAAATTCTCCAAACTGCACGAGACTAGACCACGAACACCCCTACCCACCACCATCCCGATCACAACCGAAGACTAAATCCTTGTCTTCTTTTGTCTTCCAGAGCTTTACTCGGTGGCGATTCCTCATGCTGAAATTCCTAGTCGTCCATCATTATATCTTACTGAACGAGTTAGACCTACCTCCTTAAAATTTTGATATTTTCATGATGAACAATGTCTAATATTTAAGGAAGAAAATGATGAACAATGTTAAGAGTAATTTTGATATTTTAAAAAGTTTTAAATGACATATATCATTATGTAATATATATAAATGATAATTATTAATTAAGAATAGATACTAAATTAACACATTTTAAAAGTTTAGATACTGGATTGTCACGTTTTAGTACGAAGGCAAAGGTAAGAATAAGCCTAAATCACAGTTACTAATATGCAACTTTCCCTATTAATTAAAACTACAAATTTGACTTTCACTAAACACTCGTCTCAAACTATTTATATTTTTATTCATTGTGGCTCAACATCCGAAACATTTTAAGCATGCCAACGTCTCTTCCATATAAAATCCGAGGCTCGTCGTCATTTTCACTTCTTACCTATTTTTTCCAATTTTGTTCTTCTCTCTGGAACAAATAAAATAAAGTCGAACAAATTTTTAAAAAGAAATGAATAGAAACTCATAACTGACATCCTTCTCAAATCTCTAACTTCTCGTTTTCTCTTCTCCACCTTTTCGATTCCGTGCGTCAAAGTTCGGATCGGAGAAGAGAAGCCATGGTCGAGACCAGGCGAAGCTCGGCTTCATCGAAGCGTTCTGTTCCGCCTGCAGGAGCTTCTTCTCTGTCGAATGGCAAACGCTTGAAGGTATGTATTAGGGTTAGGGTTAGGTCAAGGATTTGATTTGCTCTCCACCTTTTTTGTCGACTTTTAGCGTTGTCTGTGTTGGTGGTGGTGATGATTGGGGTTGAGGGGTTCTGTTTTCGTGGTGTTTTTATTGAATTTGATTGGAATTGTAGGTGGCGGAGGCATCGTCATCGACCAACGAGATTCCTTGTGTTACGCCAGTTGAAACCCTAGGTTCGTCAAAAGAATCAGGTTGTGAATCGCATGACCAGGAAGTTCGACTCTCTGATCTATCCGCTTTCGGTCCCTCCAAGGAATCTGATGACTGCGATGCTACTATGCTGGAAAAATCTCCGGATAGAAACGGAGAAGGCGAGGTTTTGGCTCCGCCGTCGGCTACAGGTTGAATCTTCTGAGCGTTACGCTGATTATCGATTTCGTTTCCTTTTCTTTATCTTTTCTTTCTATTTTTTTGGCCTTCTTTGACATTATATTGATTTTTGGATTGTATTCTTTGTCGGGTTAAGGAGGGCCTGCCATTGAAGCTGATAATGCGGTGGAGTTGGTTGGTGCAGCAATGAATCGAGCGAGGAAACGATCAACAAAGTCCCGCACAAAGGTTGCATGGGGAAGGCTTCTTTCTCAATGCTCGCAGGTTGGTGGGTTTGCATGTTTCTGTTGCCCATTAACATATTGGTTCGCATCGTCAATTACTCAATTTATGCGTTTGTTGATGAGCAGTGGTTTTTATTCTCTTTTTTGGGCGCGTCTGTATGTTAGGGAGGGAGGAGTGTTGCACGACAACTCTCTCTCGAGTTAGATTTCCTTATTGGGTTTAAAAGTTACTGCTATCCGATCGTGAAACTTTTCCTAAACTTTGCATTCGGACCTCCTTTGCCCACAGAGTATTTTTTTTTTCTTTTTTTACTGTTAGGGGACTAACATCGCATGTTGCCCAAAGATACTAACCAAGGGACAATTCTTTCCGTATCTGTCAGAAACATCTGAATAAAACTCAACTGTTTAGATTAAAAATCTTCATTATAGTTGGGAATTTTTTTGGTGTTAAATCTGTCTGAGGTTTAATCTTATATCAGTAGGTGTTCATGGCTTAAGAAATATCTCAATTAGTTTGATATTGCTATAATCAAGGTATAAATACCTTAGGGAAACCTGGAATAGGTCGTGGTATGGATGTGGGCTGTAATTCATTACTTGAATGGTTGGATTGGGCAAGGATGCTGCCTTTAAGAGCCAAATATTTTTTATTCAACTAAAAGGAAGTACCACTTGTTCTGGAGTTTATTGAAGTCTCACCAGTCTCAAGAAGCTCTTGATATTAGGTATTAGGTATATGAAAAGTCCTAATATACTTGAAGCATTCACAGGTTTATCTCTTAGAAATTTTGATTCTTTCCTAGTGCGATGAACATATGATCTCCTCTCTAAATAGGAACATAGAGACTGAAATATAATCAACAATGATGAAATCTAATGAAGTAGATAAAAAGATTGATCTTAAAAAAGTGGTAGATGAAGAAGTAGAGGATGGTGAAAAATTGGGCCCATTTCTTAGAAAGAGAGAAGCATGCCAATATAGTGTTCATGGAATTAGACATGTAGGAAAGAATGAAAAGTTTGGATTCTGTATCTATAGAATCCAGTTAGCTGTGTTTAGTAGTGTGAGGGATGAAGTCGATGTCAGGAAATTGTATTGAAGTCAATGTTAGGAGGATAGGGAAGATGGAGGAACGAATGCAGGTGTTGGAAGTGAGCTTAGTAGGAAGGTTTGTTGGAGTGAATTTGGAATTGGAGAAGGTGAAGGTTTGGACGACGATCGAGTGGGGAAAGGAGAAGCTGATGGGAGTAAGGAAATTGAACGGGGTTTGTTTCTGTTCATGTTCCACAACAAGGAGGTGGTGGCGCTAACTTTGAGGCAAGAGTCATCGAAGGAGAGAGAGCTTGACCTCCGGCTGGATTGGTGGTTTTTGGTGGCTGGTGCTGTCTGTCCAAAGGAGGACAGTTGTGGGTAGATGTGGTTTGTATCCCTCTCTCTGCACGCTTGGAGTATAGCCACCTTCAAGATGATAGGAGGCTACTGCAGGGGGTTCTTGCAGTTCGATGACTAGAACAGATCGTAAGTTGGAGACGTGGGGCCAACAACAG